TGAGCTTATTGTAAGCATGAACGATACGCCACTTGCCGTTCGGCTTCCGAACACAAAAAGTGTGTTTTGATTTTGGAGACTTGCTCTCACGCACCATCCCTGCGTCGTGCTCCGCACGGAAAAAGGCGTCAATGACGTTGAACTGCTCCTTGGGCAGGGGCCATTGGTGTGTTACGCAGTATTTGGTTCCCGGAAACTAAGTCGATCTCATGATGCACAGCTCGGTCCGGAGGTAGGACTAAAGGCGGGTCTTTGGAAACGACGTCTTGAAATTTCTTTACCAAAGGATAGTACGGATCCAAGATTTTTCGTAGGATCGACGATCCACTTTGTGCGTTCAGCACTCTCTTGGTGTCTTCCAAGACAGCTTCATCCAGAAATGATGACGAGTTTATCTTCTCGCCCGGTCGTACAATGACCACTTCGGCCAAATCGCCAGCCTTCGAGGCATCTCGTCCAGCTCAAGTAGAGCATCTACTGCAAGCATAGCCTCGAGACGGACGTCGCCATCTTCCTCCCCCGTCATATCGTTGACGAGGGTGTATAACTGTGCGCCATCGTCTACGGTAGAAAGACCCTAGATCAGGGTCGACGCCCGGCGTCTTGCAGCCAGCATACGGCGTCACCGTCGCCACTGTACAGAGGTTCTATGTCTCGGTGAGACCAGAGTGAACACGCACTCCGCGTCGTCCGGTGTCACCCTCAATGTCCTCTCCTTTGGAGCTTCGATGTTATCTTGGATAGCGTGCCACTCCACGCGCATATGAAGGGCCGTGCCCAAGTTGCCTCAAACTCTGTCCGACCACGCCATCGACGTGATTATGCATATACATAATACTGGCGATATCGTTTAGCACAGTCATGTACATCCTGATGATATGTAGACATCTATATTGAACACTTATGACGCTATGATAAGCTTTCGCTAATGTAGACGGTGTGTCTTTGGCTCAATGGTCACGCGTTTCTAAGACGCTTCATGGTTCAGTATGATCTTTGCAGTTGCAGGAATAAAAGTGAAACAAATTCTTCGTGAAAGGGATATATTGTCCTTCTTAAAGTGGAGACCAGACCCTTAGCCAACGGTGTGTTTTCTTTAAGGCAAGAAGTGAGCGACTACAGCATCTACTCGTTTGACCACCAATTCGTTGATATCGTCAGGAGCAACAATAAACATGAGCTTACCAAGATAGTCTTGTTTCCGTTGGACAGCTCGCAGAGGTGATAAATTCATACGACTCAGATGCGAAATTGATAGCATTTTTTAAGTAAATACAACGGAGTTCCCTGCACTTTAATAAAGGAATCCTCGGCTCGAAGTTTTTGCGCTCGCAGACGCACAAAAGTTGCGTTTGACAGCTCAGCTGATGTTCGGAATAGAAAGGCTGGGAAGTGATTAGATTTTTTTTAGGGCTGTGCAATTTTAAAGCGACAGGTACATTCAGGATTAATTATATTCGAATTAATCCAGTATACCCATTTTACTTTAAATTTATCTTGATTATGGCCAGCAGCCCACATGTACCACAATTCCCTCCTTTTAAGGATACTGTCAGAGTTAAATTAGCGATTCTTGAGTGCCTATCAATATTCACAAGTACACAAAATTGTTATTTGAATCTTATTCAATTGAACAGCATTTTTATTTGATACCATTGTACTTGCACCATAAGGTGTGAAGGCAGAAATAAATATTTTTCAGAGTTTGTAATATTCTATCAGCAAACCTTATGCTGCTCACAAAAGAAAACGTCTACGACGTCGCACTGCTACCTTTGTAAGAGCAATCAGTTCGGTGGAAAGAGTATCAGATATCGCGAATTTAATCAATCCCATATTGATAAATTGATCTAAGGGTAACACATTTGGTAGGTATTATGTCATCACGTCCCATAAGCTTTCCAGCAACAATAAAATTAATCTGTATCTCCGTCGGCGTGTTGCGCATTTTGTCGTTTCATGTGTCGCTTTATCTATAACTGACGATGGGATCTGATCCTCCTGCTGTACTGCTAGTACCATCCCTAAAATTGAACACCAAGTCAACCAGAGCTATTTAATGAGGAAGACGGGAACATTCACAACGTTTTTGAAATACCTCCGTCACGCTATTTACGAGTGTAAACAACCCATGAAGCATATGATTGCATTTCTTAATTACGCTGACTTTACTATACCGTCACACCGGTGAGCTCTTTAATCACCGAGGCCAGTAGATACACATCGCGACTAACAGTCGCAGAGACCGCGGATTTATGCCGCTCCAGCTCGAGGCCCTTTCGCATTTTATTGCCAACATTTTTGGACAATATCGCATTCGCACTGCAAATTATCATGACCAGCTATCCCTCTCCGGGTCCTCTAGTGCTTTCTCGAAGTATCGCAATTTTACAATACATCTGATATCTTACTTGTTGCACTTCAGATAGGTCTCATGACACTGAGGAACTACATCCGTTTGTTCTGCACCATGCCAGCGTCACCCGTTGCCTCTAGTCCCTATTGCCATCTTGTATCAAGAGGTACATCTCACGCAAGTGGAGCCGCACTGTCGCGGGGTGCGCACGATAGTAATGTGTACAAACATGTAACACATTTTGGCAATTGAACAATAGTATGTACGACACTTAGTTAATTTACTATCTAATATGACGAAACCCCCGAAGGAGCACGTGGGGTGTAAAGCATGCAAATTATCGAATACAGTAAAACGTACATATGTTGTGGAAGTTCAATTTCAAATTTTGACAAAGTTGAGGTCCAAAATATATAATGGATGCATTTTGTTGAGCGCGAGTTCAAACTCGAGAGAAAAGTATCATGTTACTCGGAAGGCTCTTCGTTTCGCTTTTTGCCTGTACTTTCAGACCCGTTTATGCAGACGCTGTGCCTCAAAGCTTCATCTGTTGATATTTCGTTGTAATTGGAAACACTAGTATGATGACATCTTTACCGATAAGTCTCGATCTTCTGTGGCGATGGAGCTTGAGTTCATCGACGATATGTCCTCGCAACAGCTAGTCATGATCATTATTCCTGTGTCTTTCATTGGTGTCGGGACATTAGTAAGCTTTGTGGCAAAAGGCCAGAAGCGTTGATGAAGGACTATAACATTAGTCATGCTGCGCAAACTCCGAATCACCAGCACCATGTTTGTGATGGTAGAGGCCCACACTATCTTTTGGCCGATCATTCTGTGGATAGGGTGATGATCATAAGCACACAGTGTCATGTAATTTTCTGCGCTAAACATTTGATTAGTCATATAAACCAAGAATATAAATTCTTCTTGAACAACATCAGAGCTTGGCTCATCTAACCGTGACTAATATCCAAGGAGTTTGTACTGAAAGTGCGGTCTCAATCTATCTCGATTCATCTCAAACGGGTCAATCTCTGAATCCTGGCTACCTTTTTTTTGATAATTTTTATAGACTCAAGCTTAAAGCAGTCTATAGCTGATGCGTGGCTCTTGACGCCCCATCCCTAGGATAATCCAAATTCAGCTTGAAGACCAGGTGTCCTCCATTTTTTGCAATTCTTTCCATTTGTAGCATCTTTAGCGAATAATTCTGATCTAAGATGCACGCTCAATCGTTCGTATTTGTATCCTCAGTGCTTTCACGCTTCTTCTAATACGTTTGATAGTCGCCGGTCGCATGTAAATACACATGACCTTTGATGCCGTTCACGACTTCACAAAGCCCGGGTAAGTGATGATGGTTGCCGATGCGCACTGCCCTGTGTCTACAAAAACTTAAATTCTTCCACGAAGGGTTTGTCAGTTGACCCTACGTAGGAGTCATGTTTATCGCACTCCATAACTAAGGAAGAAAGGGCACGCAGGATGTAAATGCTTAGCACTAGCAAAATTGCAAAAGCTGCGGAGCCAAGCCGCTGCTCAGTAGCTAATGAGCACACTTCCTCAGTCTGGCTAAAATCCATCCTCTCTTCTCGAGCGCATTCGTAGAGCTTTTACCCCCTAAAACCCACCCACCCAACCATTGCCAAACAGGGGTTTTGCTCAACAATAAATGCACCATTCACATTAGTGCATGTGGCAGACGTCACTATGGTACTTGTTTGTAGAATCTCCGTGAAAATAGCGACCGATACTATCTTCAGTAGAGAGAAGCCGTCATCTCGACTTTGAAAGTTCTCAACTCCTGGACAAAGTCATCACTATCCTTCATGGCTATATATTTTTATCCGTTCGCAAAAAGCCTAGAATAGCGGCACAAAGGCTCGTCTCAAAAGAATCAGATAAAAAAATACCTCGTTTGCTCATGTGCCTCGCGCTAGTGACCTTTCTTGCGTGATATCTTGACTTAAAAGCTGCTAATGCAACACGTTGTTACTAATGAAGGAGAATATCGAAGGATCTTATCACTTAACTCAACGCTGGTTGAATGCTGTAAAGTGTTACAGATTTCTGCGAGACTTGGTCGAGCTTTAATCGACCTTTGGGAAAGACTTTAATAATGTTGTCGTATGTTTTCATGGCTGCTAAATATCTCCATTCAAACGATAGCAATATTTGACGTTCGGCAGTCTGACTGCGACATCCACACGAGACCAACAAAAGCAGGAAGCTTTCTAAACGAGTATTATTATGATTGGTGAGATACGTAAATAACCCATCTTCCGTCTCCACATCGGATACAGTCTGGTCAAGATTTGGTTCAACTAGTGCAACCAAATGTAACGGGATTGCTGCTTACCCTGCAATGATAAAAAAATGACTCATCCGATATCCTCCTCAATTAATATTCCGCAGTTCTTCCTGGGTTGAGATGGAGCGCGAAGTCTGATCCTCACTGACACGTCTTAACTCTATCCACGTGTATGAAGCCAGTACTTTGTGCCAGGGCTTCTCCATCTTGTCCGTCGAAGCAACACTGGTAAATGCACTTAATCGGAACGGCATCTCATGGTCTACCCGTCAGTTCTTATCGTCGACATTAAATCACCGCGGTCATCACCTCAGAAGTCTCTTAATACTAATTAAACGATGCAACATGCGCAAAGCATCGTGTATGTTGCCATCAAACTTGAATCACAAGTATGTACGCAGAGTTGCGATAACTCACGACTGAACAGCAAAATAAGCAAATATTTATCCTTACTCCAGACAGAACTATTGTTGGCGGGGTAGAAGTGAAAAAGCATGCTAAGTATGTGAATAAGCCGCTTTTCATCTGCTGCATTGTTATAATCTATCTCACCCTTTGTAATGCATGCTGTACCCGTATCTCATGCTTTTCTGCTTTCAATTTATTTCCAACGCAATCTAGCGGAAGTTGCCTCAAATCTGACGTTGAGAGATAAATGTCTTTTAGATATTATTACAACGTAATAACAATTTCAGAGTCTATCCGAACAATTGACGTGTAGTCGACGGTGTGCAAGCCCATGGGCTATGTGTGATGTCATTTGAAGAGCGACTTTGAATGTGAGAAATACACAAATCCCATTTTTAAACGCGCAACGGGTTAGGATCGCCAAATTTGTCGAACAGGTGCTCGACACTAATATGAGTTACAGATAATAGAAACGCAGTAAGAACAACTTTCTCAGAAAAGCAATCGCTTGGGTGAATTTTGATCATGTGAAGAAGTAAAAGCCTGAGTAATGGTCCTTCAGTTGTTATTACGATGATTGTATAAATATGCTCAGCAGAATGCTTGCACAAATATGTCGGTCATGCTTATATTATTGAATGACTTGACAGAGGCAAAATAGCAGGTAGCCAAAACGGATAGGTACTTTAACGAAACTCAAACCGAACATATCAGCGAATTATGTGAAAGTTTTCGTTCGTCTATGTGTGTATGAAACTCTACACATTGGTTCGTACGCTCGCCAATTGGAAGCGATTGAATACTAATCATGGCCTGCAAGAAGTATCATCCATCGTGCAAGGCAAATAGTATTTCATTTGAAAATTTGCACACTCAGCATTCTTTTTAACGGGTACTAGATGATCTAAAACATAATAGAGGAGGTTCTCAACTACCAAGAAGAGTCTCATGTGGTCCCTTATTATTGCCTTTCGGACTCAGAAGTCTGTCTGTGACATTGAAATAACTTCAAATCAGTGCCAATGGGCGGAAACGAGTTGATGGGCTTGAACCGGCCAACTTATTCGATCATGATGGTTTTTCAGAGAATTGGCACTGTGATCTTTTGGCAGACCATCTGAGGAAAAAAAGCTTATCGTACTGCATTTATCGACATTGAGAACGAAAATGTGGGCTGATGTCATGGAACATCAATTGCCAGCATGCCTCTCCCGTGGCAATTATCTTACATTTTTCCAGCAAAATTATAGCAAGATTTGTTCAAGGCGCTTGGCACTAAGTTAAAGGCGTCCATAGTGGATTTATTTACGCACCGCTGATAGACGGAACGCGTTAGTCCTGTACTATCCAGATCACATAAGCGAAGTGACTGAAATCTCGGAGCGACATACCCACTCACACTGAGGCTGCGTAGAATAAAGCCGACAAGATTCTACAGCTCTCAACGCATTTTCTGTGCACAGTCACTCCGCATCCTCTTGACGGCACCGCGAAAGCGTTTCGGTTTTAGCAGGGGCAACTCGATAGTCGAGTTGCTGATGCCAGCCCGAATACAAAACGGATAGTTTTATTGTGAAACGATCAAGCGTCATGCGTGAAGTACGCGACACAATAGCCAATATCAAAATGTACACAGCCAAAATACAGCACAGATGAGGTAGCGCTTTTAGGGATTTTCTGAAGAATGTTTTGAGATACATGCAGGGATTCCAAAACGGTAAAGTTACATAGTTGGTACTGATAGTACCGGAGAAAGATTCAAGCTCATCATTTAAGATGGACGAATCGGTCATTGAGATTATTCGATGAGCGAAACGTGCGAAGAATCCTCGAGGCCTCTACGCAATATTAACTTACTTTAATAAAGGAGTACCACGGCGAGGTTCTAAGAAGCCCATTACGGCTGTGACCTCCGGTTAGGATAGTACCTCATGATAACGCATGGAACCTGTCGGAACCATTTTATTCCAAAATACGCCAGTAAATCTAAAAAGTGCGAGTATTTTTCGTGAAGAGCATGTTGCGGGTTCGCTAAAATTAGGTCAAGTCTCTCCAATTAGCGCTATTTTCAAGGTCGGATAGGCTACAAGCAGGTGGTAGATAGTATATATTTATAATAGGCTAACCTAACAAAAAATTCATCACAAAAGTTGCTTTCTTGGCTGTCGAATCATGGCTGGGTATGAGCATTGGAAGTAGCTAAAAATGATACTACATATATATATTATACTACATTTGTTTATTTTTGACCTCACACTACGGGTAACCCACGTGTCACTTCTTTTTGGAGTACCATCCCGTCATGATTCTTTGCCTTATTTCACTAGAAAAAAATTCGAGGACAGCAATGTACAACAGAACAAAATACGTAACTGTTGCAAAAGATCATCGAGTACAGCAAGATGTCACCATTTTGCATGTGTATTAGCAGGGTTGGGTGCTAAGATTTGGTGCCTGCAATGGCGCATCCCTGCTTGAGGAAATGTGGAGCCGAATAGCCAGCAACGCTCGGAGATCCACTTTATTGCCTTATCCACTTTATTAAGATAAAATATCGACTCCATGGCTTATGGCTAAATGTACTCATTTGATGTTAATTCGCACTGGGCTATTATTTAGTATCCAAATTGTAAAACACAAAGAAGAATACAAAAATTGCCACACGTTTTTATCTGGTTTTAAGCTACTCAGCGTCCATAGCTAATTAGGGCACCAGCACCAATCCTGAATGGATATTACGTTCAGCTCTATCATCTTCAGGTACCACGACAATCACAGCTGGAGAGCCGCTAACTCCAACCACAGATGCCGGTGGTGCCCCAATATTGCGTAAGATGGTAACCGGCATCTCCACTTTCACGCTCTTGCTCAACATAAACCGACACTTTACCTTCAGTCGATACTGCCATCGAATAAATGTTGCGCTGTGAGTGGGGGCAATTGGTTTTCCACTTTCATCGTCAATTAGCGGCAAGGACAATGTCTTGACCAGCAGTTGACCCGCGTTTACGCCAGGATAGACGCGCTTGCATACAACTCGTGTGCCTTTGTTTAATCTACGATTGGGCAGCTGTACAAACACATCTTCATACAGCTGCACAGAAAGACTGTGCATGTCTCGGACTGAAAAATTGCTAATTTGTGCCCGTAATGAAAGCCTCATGCCGGAGATCTGGACGTCGCTGTCCAAGCAAACTTGGATTTCGCAAAGGCCTTTCGACTTCAAAAATATAAGTGATCGCACCTCGTCAGACGATGATTTTTGCAGCGAGCGCACAATGTGACAAAGCAACGGACGATGCACTATAATGTTGCGCGAGGTGTGTAGATCAGCTACTCGGTTGCCGCTTAGCCGTAATTGAGCATTAATAGTGTATGAAATGCTCGTATTAATGTCACGTAAAGCTCCCACAGAAGTTTTCGTCTTACAAAAGACTGGTGGTAGCATCTCGTTTAGCTGATAGCAGAATTGAAACCGATATTCACCTGGTTTAAACGCGCACGGAACAGAGTGATCAAGCTGAATTTCCTCGCAGAGGAAAGTGTCACGCAAGCAGCAAGGAGCAAGTGTATGCGTAGATCCTTCCGACCACTTGACAGTCTCAACGCCCGTCACATGCATTGATAACATCTTGCATTCGATAAAACGCGAGACTCGTAGCACCACTTGACCTTGAACCATATCACCCGCGACGTAATTCTCGCGATTTAATATGATGCACACACTTCCTTTCGGACCAATATGCAAACGATTAACCACATTCTTCATTGCACCAAGTATTTGGGCTGTAATACGATGCAAACAGCTTTTCAGGTTGTGCTCAACTTTAATCTTGCAACATAAGCCACTTTCGCCACCATTCGTTGGCTGAGGCTTAAGCGTGTCAGAGACATCGCTCATAGCTTGGGCGGCCTACCACCTTGGTGACGCTACTACCGCAGACTCGTCTGCCTCGTGACATTTTAAGAGACTCTATGAAAAGGCGCTACGAATAGTAGGTAAGGTGGTAATTCACATTATCATTGGCGCAGACGACATGCTACGTATGTCGTATATTTTTGGAAATTTACTGTACACATACGTCAGCCCTTTTGAAAATATTATTCGTGACTAATTTCTGTTATGAGATATTTTGAGACAGCAAATATAGAACAAAGAAAACTTGATGTGCAGAACCTCATTACGTATTCCATACTATTTCGCACAAGGTGAGAGGTGCTCTAATAATGATCGATTTGCAGACGCTCTGAAGCACAGTGCACTCGTTCCACGAGATTAGCTGTAACGGAATACAAACTTTGTGTGCATGCGGATGAGTATGCAGACCCTACACTTCCGTACAATTGTGCAAAACAAATCAGAATACAATTGTACAGAATATATATTACTTTTTTATGTAATTGTAAATATATAAAGAAACCGAAATGTCGGTACTGATTGAGATAATGGGGTTCTGGAAAGGAGAGATCCGTGGTGCACATGGGCTGTTAGCCTCACGTCAATTAATAAGTTCACTAGCAATGATCCTTCTATGTATCACTCTTGAAATAACAGAGGAACCAAGGGAACTGGTTCACCTTGCTCCGCTCCTGATTTGGGTATACGAAACCAACCTCTACGCTTTCGTCAAACACGGATCTTTTGAGTCAAACATCTTTTTTGCAAGTTATGTTGTACTTGTAGCTTGTTGAAGTCAATCCCATGACCAAATATTGTAGGGTCTTATCCTGTGTGACGATAGAACGTAAGCTTTTCAGGTACCTGTTCCCGGGACAATTCGCACTGTTTGAAACGCTTGTGTCGAATGTTAGTCTCGAAGGGATCAATAAATTGGCAGCCTAAGCGTCAGAAGCAATGATCGCTCACCTAAAAGCTTTCATTTACGAATGCACTAATGAAGCAATGCCTGACCAAGTATTGGTGACACCACATATGCACTCACTGTGAGGTCGCTAATGTCAAGCCCTGTGTGGGCAGGGACAGCGAAAATCTATACTTCTGGATGAGTATAGTTGGTATGGATATGAACACGGGTCATGTAACAGACAAAGCAACAATGTCTTGCTTATATGGTCCGCAAGCTATGAGGTTGAGCGCGTTTATTGGTGCTAACGTGCAATTCCTCTGTCGAAGGCGCATTCTCAAAATAGGAAGATTCTGAGCGATGTAAAGGGAATGCTGCCAGGAGCTAAAGCGCTTATCGCTTCAATCCAGTCAGAACCTCATTAGAGGCAGCGATAGTAATAATTAAAAATTTTCGAGCAGGTGCGGCGCATGTTTTCCCTACCTTGTCCTTCATATCTCTTTTGAAAAAGCGATGGGCGCTGCAGTGATGCGGAGTGCAGCTTCCGTGCTGCGAGCGCATGGTGAAGTACCGAAGGGAAGCTAAACGAGCGCGCAAGCAACAATGAACCTCAGCCTTCGCGGGAGAAAGGAAGAAACCCTCTGACTGCTAAAACATTTATATAGCTCACAGATGTTCAACTGATGAATTATAAGCTAATACTCCTTGTTTGCTTATCGGTTAAAAGGGACAGAAACTCCGAGCTCCCGCACATGGTAAGCCGACGATTTTTTTTGCCGAAAAATCTGTAGGAGCAAAGCGTTCTTCCAAAAACGATCTTATTTTTTTTTGGTATTTTGCGGAGGTTGTGAGCCATGAGACCTCGCTCAAAAATAGAAATCAGGGTAAAAATTACAGCCCCGAGTGTTATGTGTTGATGTCAAAAATTCGGGTTCAAGAAGCTGTAAGGAAGCCTTGAAGAGTCATGAGCCCACCTCGTGTGCTAGAATGAAGCTGCGATGGCTTTCGTGCGGGGCATGGAGTTGTCTTAATCTTTTAGCAATGTTCGCTAAGTGTCGCGAGCGCTCAGAAGGGTTTAGTGACAGTGAGCCGTGCTTTCAGTACGAAACAGAAAGAGCATTTGTGTGTATCTCTTGAGAAGAAAAATTAGGAATTTATCTCGTTGCTCCTAGAGCATAACCCGAGTGAAACGGTAAAATTTTGATACAAGCTGCTGTCTTCTGTGCCAGGGCCAGTGGAAAATGAAAATGACTGGGTGTCTACAATTTCCATGCTAATGCTTGTGGAGTTAGAGGGTAAGTGTGACACGCGAGTAAAAGCACCAAGCTCTGAAGATAACAAGGATGACCAATCATTGCCATACTGCTGTGTCAGCACTACCGTGTGATGAGAAGATGATAGCAACATGTGCCGCGTGATTCTATCTTAGTGGATCTTGAGTCGTAAATTATGAACTAGGATTTTCTGTGAATCATTAAGGTTTTTGCACGGTCACAATTTTGCAACAGCTTCAGTGCAGGATATGAGATTGACCGAGATACCTTGCAATAATGTGGCTAATGCTTCATGAGAAAAGCCTGGATAGCAAGTACAGTTTATAAAACCTATCTAGTCAGCCGGGACAGGGTCAATAGAAATTATCTTGTGTTGAGATAAATACGCGACAGTAAATCGCGGTTAGTAGGGCGTGACTAGGAAAGACTCGTTCATGTCACCGTAGTACCACGGCACATGTAAGTCAGCATTACCGAAGGTGTGACGGGGTTACAAGTACCCTGGTAGCAGAGGTGTGTGTCACACGAGATGGGGATGGTGTAACTGCACTTAAATAAAATTACGGTACGTGGCTGGGTAGCCAATAGTTATGCATGTATTTAGATTTTACTATATATATTCAGAAAAATCTATACATTTAAAACTAGACGGCTTTGCAGCAGATAAAACAAATAAATATTAAACAGAAGAGTTTATTAGCCTTGGGTTAAGGTTCTAACTACTCTTGGAGGTAGCGGATTGCGATCCGCTACACTCGTACTAGTTCTTGTTAAGAACGTAAGCTAAATTAAGCTTCCTCTAAGCGCAAAGCTACGGCAGTCTCGTTGCACTTGATGGCACTTGTAGTCAATCTATACCTGAGCGCTTAAGCTGACCATCTGTAAGGATGAAACACATCTTCCTCTTTGCCCCAGGGCATGCGGGACGGGCTTTCAAAGCTGTTGTTCTTGCTTGGCCCTGAGGGCGTGCAACACCTTGCTGCGCTAGACCCCGAGGCAACCGGTGCGCGTCTAAAGGCGTTTTCAAATTACGAAAAGCTCTGCTAGAGCACCAGCAGCAGAAGATCTCTGCATCATTCGCGTCTATGACGCCACCGTCAGTGACGGATAATTTTTCCGCT